CCTAAATGAATTCTGTGATTTCTTGGGGTTTGGGGCAATAGGTTTGTCTTTCCCAGAGGGAGCATGACATGATGGAAAGAACATGAACCTTGGCCTCAGGTAAACTTGGGTTGGATCTCTAACTTAGCTACTTAGCTGTGTGACCTTGAGCAAACTAACTAGGGTTTTTCCTTATAAACGGGGATAAAAGTCCTTCTGCCCCTGGCTATTGTGAGCATGAGATGAGATCTAGGGCTTGGCCCATAGGAGATGGTGGGTAATGGCAACTATCTGGTCATGAATGTGACTCCCAAGCCCTGCCCTGCTAGGATGTAAGTGCCCTTGAGCCGATGCCAATTAAGCTGGATTTTTTTTTTTTTAAAGAAGTTTTTGTCTTGGGAGCGTTTGCTCACAGGGTGTGGTGTGGGGGAGAGACAGACACAGTGAGAAGGAAAGACCTCACCCCCCAGGGGGATGGCCATGCTGCAGTCCCTTTTCCTCCATTCTCCTCCCAGGATTTTGGGCACGCATACACACGTGCTGGAGTGATTTTCAAGCCACTGGGTCCAGCACTCAAATCACAGTCAATCAGTGGGAGTCCAGTGACGTAACCGCTATGCCATCTGCTGGTCCCTAATTAAGCTGTTCTTGTGTACAGCACCTTTGCCCATACACATGGAGTTGGACTGAATCATAAGGCCCTGTTTAAGGTCTGTGACCTGTGACCCTGGGAGGCTAGCACTGCTGGGAGCCAAGGCAAGTCTCAGGCAGCTGTGTGACATAGCGGAATGCCACAGTGCTGTCCAAAAGTCTGTGGGAGCCATCAGAGATGGGCTAGGGAAGGTTTCTTTAAGGAGAAGACATAGGATATGGGCCAGCTGCTCAGCTTGGCTGGGGCAGAGAATGTGAAGGGACAGTGCGATAAAGCTGGAGACAGCATCAGGGGAGAGCCAGCAGGCTGGGCCTAGGGTTCACACTGGTTTCCATGGGCAGTGGGCAAGTCTAAGCGGTTTTGAACACAAAGATTCTTTAGAAGAAACAATATGGGACCAGCAGTTGGCATAATGGCTATGTCACTGGACTTCCATGCAGTCGACTGTGGTTCAAGTCCCGGACCTGGTGGCTTAAACTCATGCTGGGTGCATGTTCGTACATGCCCAAGATCCCAAGAGGAGAATGGAGAAGGGATTGCAGTGTGGCCATCCCCTCTGGGGTGATTTCTCGCTTTCTATCTCTGTCTCTCTCTGTCTTTCTGGCGAGCACACACACCCTATAGCAAAATCCTCTCCAAAAGAAACAAAGAAAAAGATACCTGAGGCCTCCTTGTCCATGGGAGAAGGAAAGGCCACCAAACCAGGTCAAGGAGACAGATTGAAATGCTGGCAGCATGCAGGCCAGAGCTGCGAAGATCTGCACAGAGGGCTGGCTGTGGGGGCCAGAGCAGAGACAGAGAGCCGCTGTAGAGACAGGGTCCAGGGGAAGCAGAGGGAGTTAGAGCTGGCTCATATCAACTGAGGAGCCTGGAAGAAGGAAATCGCCTTCTCAGGGACTGAGAGGGAAAGGGCCCTTGATTAAATCCTCCCTTTGCAGTGCTTGAAGTAGGTGTTTCTGATGACGCTGGGTAGGAAAGACAAATGATAACTCCCGCCATCTTTTTCCTAAGACCGCTAGCCTCAGCCATCCCTGCGATCCTCTAGGACTGGTGGTCAGAGCAGGAAGAGCCTTCCCCTTTGTGATGGGGTGGGAGCAGCACCGAAAAGCAGAGCAGTCCTGCAGCTGAGATGGGCACCGGGGTTAGACCTGGCTCTGCTACCCGGGCTTGTGCGGCCTTCAAATCTGCCTGTGCCTTCACCTCCTGAGGCTCCTCTTGCCAGCACGTGGGAGTAGCAGGTGCTAGAGTGGCACCTTGGGCCAGGAGACATCCCTGAAAGAACAGTCCTAGGTGGGAAGGCCTGGTTTTATGAGGGATAGGAACCTGGGCCAGACAGCAGCAGGGCTAATTCTGCCTCTCCCTCTGCAGATCCCACTTACCCCGCTCCAGCCACCATCAGAACCGCCAGCCTCCCCTTCCCTGAGCTCCGCAGAAGGACCGGCCACCTCACTGCCTCTGGGGCGCTGTGCTGGGCAGAGAGAGGTAGGAGGGCTGGGTTAGTGGCCTGTGTCCGCTCTGGCTAGAGGCTAGTCAGTCGATACTTCACGGCTGTTTCCTAACGAGTCCCGGGGGAAGGGCTGTTTTGAGTGCACAGACTCTTGTCCAGGCTGGGAGTGTGAGCCTTCGGCTGTCAGCCTCATACCAGGAAAACATCCCCACCCCCAGCCAGCGGCCCTCTGAGCAAACACATTAGTAATGTCATAGGAGTCATCGTTAACACTTGCTGAGCTCTCGCTCTGCCGTGCACCGTGCGGCACACCTTGGGTCTCATTTCTTGCATTTTATGAGTGTAAACATAATGACTGTCCCATTTCACAGATGACGCAGTGAAGCTTACAAGTCAGATAACTCACTGAAGGTCATATAGCAAGGTGGAACTGGGACCTGACTGTCCAGTCAAGAACCAGAGCCTCTGTAGTTAACCGGGACATGCTATACCCAAGGGGCTGGGTAACGGCAGGGAGGGGAGGTGTGGAATACCCCTGTCTCCTGCTGGGGATCAGAGCTATGGACTCGGCTCTCTGACCTGGGAAGGCCTGGGCTTGCCTGCAGTGACTGCCTTGGGACTTGGCCACATCATACCCCCTTCTTGAGCCTGAAGGCTAGGCCTCCCTTCCTTGGGACAACCATGGAGGTCAGAGATGTAGGTCAACCCTGCTGATCCAAATAATAGTGGAGAGTGGGGAGCTGGGATGACCGAGAAGGGGGTATGGGGAGCCTACCCAACCCTGAGTATGCCAGGAAGAGTTGGGGTCACCAAGGTTGAGGGACCCTTAAGGAAGCTGAACCACAATGTCCCCAAAGCTGTGAATTCATTCTAGGGACAAACAGGCCAGTCCTGGGCCTGACTAACGCAGCCGAGGGCCTGAGCCTGGGCTGGGGGCAGGGTTCCAGCTACACTTGGTCTCCTCCTCATGCCATTTTCCCCCCAAGGTGTGTTGGGAGCAGCAGCTGCGGCCAGGAGGCCCAGGCCCCCCGGCCACCCCACCCCCAGCACTGGATGCCCTGTCCCCGTTCCTTCGGAAGAAAGCCCAGATTCTGGAGGTGCTGAGAGCCCTGGAAGAGACTGATCCCTTACTGCTGTGCTCACCCGCCACCCCCTGGCAGCCTCCCGGCCAGGGTCCCATCTCCCCTGAGCCCATCAATGGTGAACTGTGTGGCCCACCCCAGACTGAACCCGCACCCTGGGCCCCCTACCTGCTTGTAGGCCCTGGTAGCCTAGGAGGCCTGCTGCGCTGGGAGCGCCTTTTGGGAGGCCTCGGGGAGGAAGAGGGTACTGGGCGGCCCTGGGGCCCTAGCAGGGCCACCCCCCAGGCCCAGGGTACCAGCTCTGGCCCACACTGTGCCCCAGGCAGCAGCTCCTCCTCATCTTCTGATGAGGCTGGTGACCCTAATGAGGCTCCCAGCCCTGACACCCTTCTCGGGGCCCTGGCCCGCAAACAGCTGAACCTGGGCCAGCTGCTTGAGGATACGGAGTCTTACCTACAGGCCTTCCTGGCTGGGGCTGCGGGCCCACTCAATGGGGACCACCCAGGTTCTGGACAACCATCTTCCCCAGACCGGGGACCCCCACAGCTGTCTAAGCCCAAAGGCCTCCCCAAGTCACCTTGGGGTGGGGGTACCCCAGAGGCCCACAGGCCAGGCTTTGGTGCTACCTCAGATTGCCAGGGGCCCCTCCCCTTCCTCAGCATGTTTGTGGGTGCAGGGGATGCCCCACTGGGCTTACGGCCTGGCCACCCCCACTCCTCATCTCAGGTGAAAAGCCAGCTCCAAATTGGTCCCCCTTCTCCTGGGGAAGCCCAGCAACCCCTTCTGCCCTCTCCAGCCAGAGGTCTCAAGTTCCTAAAGCTGCCTCCAGCCTCGGAGAAGGTCCCCAGCCCAGGAGGCCCCCAGCTCAGCCCCCAGCTTCCACGGAACTCCCGGATCCCCTGTCGGAACAGTGGCTCAGACGGCAGCCCCTCCCCACTGCTGGCCCGCAGGGGTCTGGGCGGAGGAGAGCTGTCCCCAGAAGGGGCTCAGGGTCTGCCCACCAGCCCTTTACCCTCCTCCACAACCCCAGACTCCACACAGCTCAGACCCCCGCAGTCAGCCTTGTCAGCTTCACTGTCCCCAGGACCAGTGGGGTCTCCCTGCTATGAGAACATCCTGGACCTTTCCCGGAGCACCTTTAGGGGGCCTTCCCCAGAGCCACCCCCATCCCCGCTGCAGGTGCCCACCTACCCACAGCTGACTCTGGAGGTGCCACAGGCTCCTGAGGGACTCAGAAGCCCTGGAGTCCCCCCCAGCCCTTGCCTTCCAGAGTCCTGCCCCTACGGGATCCCCCAGGAGAAGAGCTCAGATAAGGCAGGCTCCGAGTCTCCCCATCCCGGCCGCAGGACCCCCAGCGGCTCATCCAAGAAGCCCAGCCAGGGGTCAGGGCGGCGGCCAGGGGACCCTGGCTACACACCTCTGCGGGACAGACTGGCAGCCCTGGGGAAACTGAAGACGGGCTCCGAGGGGCCTTTGGGCCCAGAGAAGAATGGACTGCCAGCTAGGCCTGGCACTGAGAAGGCCCGGGGATCAGGGAGGGGAGGGGAGAGTACTGGAGACATGGTTCTCCCCAGACCCCCTGAGCAGTCAGAAGCTAAGGGGGCCCTGCGGGGAGCAGTGGCCTTAGGCACAAGCAGCCTGAAGCAGCAGGAACCTGGACTTGGGGGGGATCCTGGAGCCCGAGTCTACTCGTCTCACTCCATGGGGGCCCGGGTGGACCTGGAGCCTGTCTCACCAAGGAGCTGCCTCACCAAAGTGGAGCTGGCCAAGAGCCGGCTGGCAGGGGCCCTATGCCCCCAGGTACCCCGTACACCTGCCAAAGTGCCAACCTCAGCCCCCAGCCTGGGCAAGCCTAACAAGAGCCCTCATGGTAGCCCTACCACGCTGCCATCCAA